GGTTTAAGTGGAGAGAAAATGTTTTGAGAATGATGTACAAATGCGCTTTACACAATTGATGTGTGTGTGGATTGCGATAACAGTTGTATGAGCCCGTAATAAAATGTTTAAAAATAAAAAAAATTTTTTTTTAATTTAACAGCTTAATTAAGAAATAAAAAGCAGCCTATTCTCCTCTTCCTTGCGATATTTGTATCATGATAGACATAAGGAAAGAGGAAAGCACTCATCACCAAGAATTATCATGTTCAAAGCCCAAGAGAATCAGGAAGGAGACCTTTATGGAAGTTGTTACAGCAATCAAGGCATGAAGCAATTAGCACAAAATCCATAGGTGCTTATTTGGCAAATATCTAATTTCTTTAACTTAAAAAATATCTGTTTGAGTTCCTCTATATGATCTTGAACACAGATAAAATAATTAAGAAAACATTTCTTAAGCAACCATTAAATTCAGGCTGACATAGATCAGTCACAACTTAATGGTTAATATTTAAATAAGCTATATGCTACCACCAAATTATTCTTCTGATCCAGATAAGGAGAGCTCTTCAATGGAAAAGAACCAGGTGATGGAACATCCAGGCCAAGCTTTCCCAGGTCTGCAATTTGTCCTTTCAATTCTATCCTAAGCCCCACGATGATCATCACGACAGGTCTATCAAAAGTACAGGAAATTAATGACACCTCCAGAGATATTGTACCATTCAAACAAGTGTACCCTTGCTAGATGTGATCTCAATCCATCCTACCTGTCCAAAGTGAGCAGGGTAGCCCAGCATGTGCATATATAGCAATTTTGCCACATTTCGACAGCGGTAGGTATTATCTTCTTCTCTGAAAGATGACCGGATTGCAGCACATTCTTTCTGGATCATTTCTCGTTCTTCAGCTTGGGTTCGGGCTGTCCGGATAGTCCGGATAAGCTCCCGCAATCTGATGGGGGCTGGCATCCTCTGGATATGAAAAGACATCAAATAGAGAAGTTCATTTTTTTGAAACTACCAAACTATGTAACTTCCTATATTCATTTAAGAATTCAAGACTTGCTAAGTCTAGTAACATGATGCTATTACTAACAAGTACCGCAACTCTAAGTTTAGAGATAACAAAAACGCAAAGCCTTAAATGCAAAATGAGACACAATATGCAAATCCATCACAAATATAAAAATACCTCGGAAACTGATTCAACCCAAGTCTCTATTTTTTAAAGTAATAAGGAAAGACCTATGCCCAGTATAGGTCCCTAGGTGGCACAAACAGTTTGCACTTCTCTACTAGCTTAAAGGTTGGTGGTTTGAACCTACTCAGTGGCACTGCAGAATTAAGGTCTGGAGATCTGCTTCAGCACATATTCCAGCCAAGAGAAGCCTGGAGAGTAGTTCTACATGGGGTCACCCATAAACCTGAATTCAATGGCCATGAGATTTACTTTGATACACAACCAAGCAAAACTCAGCAAATAAAAGTGCCAAAAAGGGAAGCTCAGCTGTCAGATTGAAATATATTTCCAATGAACAGTTTTCCTTTCAGTACACTAAGTACTCTGACTCCATTTTTAGAAAAAATATTTTTTAGCAAATGAGAAAACGAGAAGTCTAAATCAATTAAAATCAGTCTAAAGCAGCGGTTCTCAACCTGAGAGTCGCGACCCCTTTGGGGGGTCTAACAACCCTTTCACAAGGGTCACCCGATTCATAACAGTAGCAAAATTATAGTTATGAAGTAGCAACAAAAATAATTTTATGGTTGGGGGGGTCACCACAACATGAAGAACTGTATTAAAGGGTTGCGGCATTAGGAAGGTTGAGAACCACTGATCTAGAGCAACTGGAAGTATTCTATTTTTCTTTAAAAAAAAAAAACACAAAAATCTCAAAAGATCCTACAAAGCAAAAAAGGATTGTTCAGAAAAAGTCTAAATGTAATCCCACATTAGTGTATTGGAGCAGGTAAAAAGTAAGAAAAGCTTAAGCCAGCTGAGATAAACATAAGTTATCTGGAACAAATTCTCAGCCAACAGTCACAGAACACCAGCCTTTTTAATGGGGGAAAACTAAAGCTCTAGGTTGTCAGCTCCCTCGATCAAGGTCACTCAGTAATTAGTTACTGGCCTGAGTCAAGTCCCGTGACTCCACCTGTCCGCACTCTTCCTGCTCCATTACTAGCCTGCTTCTAGCTTAGAAAAAAGCAGCAGTTTTTATTTCTAGATTTGTGACAACTTACTACCTCTAGATGTTTTCACATATCACATGACATTATCTTACTTAGAATGTATGAAAAACAAAAATTAATTGATTCTGACTCATAAAGACCCTATACATAGGGTTTCCAAGCCTGTAAATCTCTCATAGGCACAAATAGCCTCCACTTTTTCCTGCAGAGTGGTTAATGGGTTTGAACTATTGACCTTAGGGTTAGTAGTCCAAGGCTTACACAACAAAGCCACCAGGGCTCCTAGGAGACCCAAAGATAGCCCCCAAACCAGAAATACTCACCAGTAAAAAACTCTTTCTGGTCTAAGAAGCAGGAAAAGGAGCCACTACAAATCAAGGAGTACGGGGTTAAGTTTCCCTTTTGGTCTTATGTACCAAAAAAAGTAAATTGTAAAGTATGTTAATTTAAATTACACATTTTTATACAAGGAAATCAAAAGCCCTTCAATTAAATAATTAAAACCTATTTGATCAGTTATAATACAAAGGCGCTTCAAAAAGTTCCTGTAATAACTCCAATATTTTCCATTCTATTTTTCTATGAGTTTTTTTAAGTCTCCTATATACTTGAAGTCTCCTTGTTTACCTAGGATAGTAAATGGACTGAAAAATTACTAATTGCTCTAACCTGCTTACAGACACTTTTGAACAAACAAACCAAAAGGAAAGACATATTTGGCCACTTAGCTAAATAAAGATACTGTAAAAATCTTGAAATGTTATATGTGATGGGTGTTGTATGTCATACTGGTTGGCCTATAAAAGATAAACATAAACCCATTATATAAGGGATGATTGAGGGTGGGTCTCACCTGAAGATGAAGCCATTTTCTGTGCCAAATGGGCTATGCTTTTGGGGGGGAGGGCTGGAGGGTGACAAGTAAGTCACTAGAGAAAGGGCTCTGATGAGTTGGTTCCAACTCACAGTGACAGTATAATCAATAGAACAAAACAGAGCTGAACCATAAAGGGTTAAAATGTCTGCAAAATGGTTCCTGAATAGTGGGTGATGGATGGTGCCTTCAAAACAGGCAGGTCAGAAAAGCTTCCTCTGTTTGAACTTCTAAAATAGGAAATAATTCTTTAAGTATACGGGCAGAACAACGACAAAATCTTCAGGAACCTGCAGTTCTCTTTATTTCTACCCTCAATATACAAGGAAGTCTATTCTGAGAATTTCAGCCATTTCCAGCCCTGTGAAAGAAAACAGGAAGAATTGCATGTCCACATTTTGGTCAAAATACCGAAAGAAGGGCAGCACAACACAGGAAGCAAGAGTTGGAAGAAACTGCAAAAATGAAAGAATTGCAAAAGTAAGGAGAAACTACTGAGGTATAAAACTGGGACTACTAAACCAGCATAACTCCCAGTCAAGTCTTCACCAATTAATAAACCTTAAAGACTATAGATTTACATTTTGAAGGGTTAGTTTGAATAACAAAGTTAAAATTTAAGAATAAATCTATGTGCAATCTTTCAAGCATATACTCTTGTAAACATATTAAACATTCCTCAGACACCAAACTCACTGCTTATCGAGTCAATTCTGACTCAGTGACCCTGTAAGGATAGAGCAGAACTGCCCCTGTGGGTTTCAGAGGCCATAAATCTTTCCAGGAACAAAAAGTCTCATCTTTCTCCCTCAGAGCAGCTGGTGAGTTGAAACTGCTGACCTTGCATTAGCAGTCCAAAACATAATCCACTATGTCTCTACTTTCTACAAATAATAGAAATATAGAAATTCCATCAATGAAAAGAATACTTTTTAAAGAAATATCCTAATACAAGTGTGTGTCGCTTAACATCCATTCAGGCAACATCCAATTACATATACATCTGTGGTCCCTAAGACTTCTTTGTAATTTAAAAGGGAAAGCAGCTCCCTTTTTGTTTACTATTTCCTGTCATCCTTCACCACTCCCCCACCCAAATGGTTTAAAAGACCCATAATGAGAAGCATTAGCCACAGTGGGTTATAGGCAGGTGAGGCAAAAAGTATGGCTTTGGACGTGGGGGTCTCAGGCAGGTAGGTGGCAGACAACTGTTGGGCTTAGAGTCAATTTTCTCTAGCGGCTTGGATTGGCAAAACAGCAGGCTCCACTCCCTCTTCACTCATTCCTCTAGCTCAGATCCTGCCATAGACCTCTCAGGCACTATTGTGCCAGCACCTGTTCTTCCAGCCTTTACCAGCAATAGCAGCACAGCAGCAGCAATGACAAGAACCAGAAGTGTGTTCCCATAAAATTTTAATATGGTGTTCACACACAGCCAAATCACACAATGTCCTCACAGAACGTAAGATGGACATTAAATGGCACTACCTGTGATCAACTAGTACTGTCAGCCAAGAATCCTAGGGCAAGTCATCTGACTTCTCTAAGCCTTTCTGTTCCATCAACTAAAAAAGAACAGCATAGTCAGCTCTAAAAATCTAGGAGAACCACCATTTGATGATCACATTATATAGTATCATTCTGTTATCAGTATGTTAATGTTAAAAGCTTCATTTTTATATATATTAAAATGTACTCCATTCATAGGTCAATACTGTCAAGCAGATCTGTACAAGAAGAAAGTAATTAAGCCAACCTCAATAATGAGTTAAGCATGTATACTATAAACCAAAACCATACTCACTACCATCGAATTGATTTCAACTCATAGCGACCCTATAGTACAGGGTGGAAATGCTCCTGTGAGTTTCTGAGATTGTAGCTCTTTATAGAAGAAAGCCCCATCGTTCTCCAATATATGTTATACTTAACTAAAATATAAGGAGCATTGGTGACATGAGTTACTTGTTGAATGGCTACTGCAAGGGCAGGGTTCAACCATACCAGCTGCTGTCTATGAAGACTGATAGCCCCCAAAACCCTAAGGGCAGTTCTACTCTGCCCTGTAAGGTTGCTATTAGTCTGAACTGACTAGACAGCAATGGTTTTTAACTGAAATACAGCCATTAAAGTCTTGAATGCAGAAAGGAGCAAGATCAGACTTTAATCAAGAAAATGACGGGAGGGAGGGGAAAAATGAGGACCTAATGTCAGGGGTTTAAGTGGAGAGAAAATGTTTTGAGAATGATGTACAAATGCGCTTTACACAATTGATGTGTGTATGGATTGCGATAATAGTTGTATGAGCCCCTAATAAAATGTTAAAAAAATAATAATAATGAGGGCAACAAATGTACAAATGTGCTTTATACAATTGATGTATGTATGGATTGTGATGAGTTGTATGAGCCTCCAATAAAATGACTTTAAAAAAAAAAGAAAAAAGAAAATGAAAAAAAAAAGCATTTTTAACAATTCAGGGTTCATTAGAATACACTTAACAAAATATTGCACAGTTTAAAAAAACAGAATCAAGTATCATAAGTGAAAACAATATAAGAATCATTTAAATCTACTTTCAAGTTGGGAGAATTCCTTAAAATAAAAGGAATTAGAACTTCACTACCTGATTTTGTCCTCCTTGTTCAATTAGTCACACACACACTGTCCCATTGATGACATAAATATTTGAAAAATGTGTGAGACAAAATGTGCCTATTAAATATTCAATAAATATTGGCTGAGCCATCTCTATGCCAAGCATTGCAGTAAGTACAGAGAACTAGCAAGGACGGGGTCTTGTATGCTTATTGTTGTGTTGCCACCGAGTTGATTTCATTTCATTGAGACCCCATGTGACGTGTTCTCTTGGTTGCAATTTTTATGAAAGCAGATCATCATTTCTTTCTTCCAACAAAGTGGGCTTAAACGGCCAACCTTCCACTTAAATGCCAAGTGTTCAACCTTTGTGCTACCTGGGTTCCTTCCCTTAAGCTAAAAAGAACTCATGTCTAGTGAAGTCCAGCGAGGAAAACAATGTTTTTAAAAGTCTGGTGATATAATAACACACATTCTCCTGATAAGTGACAGAATGAAAACTTATGATAAGCCAAGGTTTGTCAAGGCAAATATAAACCGACATTTAGACCTTTTCTTTTCTAAAATTAAGTGCTTTGTAAATCAGCCCAACAACTCCAAAATCCCATATAGAAAGAGCATAGTACAAATCCATAATCTCTTTATCTAAAACCTTTAATGCAGATGTTTCAGAATTCAGATTTTTTTTAATTTTAGAAAATACAATGCATATAAATGAATGTGATAACTTGCCTACCATGTCCAGGGCAGCATTTCCATTTACTAAACGATATTTTGAGCAACAAATGACTCTTAGTCACATCACATGAGAGAAATAAATACTACAATCTCAAAGACCTAGATTTGACATAGGTCAAAAGAGTGATCCAAAATCTCCTAGTTTTCAAAGATTTTGGGGGGGAGAGGATTTGAGAATTGAGATAAATGATGTGGTCCTAAACTTCAAAATCACCCTAAAGTAAGATTACCTGGGCTCGAGCCCCAGCTCCACCACTTATTAGCTGTGAGTCCTTGAATAAATGACTTAACCTCTCAGAGCTTCAGTTTCCTCATCTGTAAAAGGGGAGAGAGTACCTATCTCAAAGACTGTTATGAGAATTTCAATGAGAATATAATTATCTTAGCACAGTGTCTGAGACACAATGCGTCATTATGTTAATTATATTAAAATATCGCATAAATTATTTGAAGACTTGCAAAAAGATATATACTATCAATATTTATAAAAGTTTAAAATGTCTGTAGAAATAAAAAATGCAGTAAGTAAAAAATATACATGGAAAAGATAAAGCTCAAACCCAACAAATAGGCATATGGGGGAAGAGGAATATGATCAGAGAATGCTTCAGCTATATTATTAACTTTTATTCTTTTATTTCTCAGAATAGGCAACGGTTAAGCAGATGTTAATTATTCTCTACATTTTTCATTTCTGAAATACTTCATATGAAAAATAAATTTTAAATATCTAAGTATTAAATAGTGTGAACTAGAAAAACCTAGAAAATACCATCTACTTGATTTTATCACATGAAACTCGTTTTTTTTTTTTTTTTCAGAATTTTGCCCATTTGTCCCCATTTTTCATAATATTCAAAAACCATGAGATTCCTGAAAATTCAGCAGCTTAAATGTCTATCCATAAATAACAATAAAAAAACTCTACTCTCCAAGCATAACCCAAAAGATGACAAAAGTAATGAAAAAAATGAAATTCAAGTGGAATAGCAGTGACTCAGCTATACAGCTGAGAATCAAAAAACATACTTTTATGATAGTTAAGTCAATATAGACATCATCATATCCACACACTAAAATTAACACCTACTTTAATCCAAAGAATGCAAAGTTTTCAATCAGCCTGTTCCAGAAGAGAAGAGCTGTAAATTAGAAAAATAAAAGGGAGAAAGAAGATGAGGGTATGGACATGAGATGAAACTGTTTTAGAAAATGATGCTCTTTGTCAAAAATGTCACCTTACAATGAGGGGAAAAAAAGCAAAACAAACAAAGCGTATGCAGAGAGAAAATAAGCATTTAAAAAGCATAGTCATCTGAGGCTACTTTGTATGCTACAAAAAGCATTCTGCTCCCCTCTGGTGTTAATAATCAATAAATTGTAAACAGTATCCTTATTAGTGTTTACAATAGGGTGCTGATTCATCAAGAAATGTGTAAAATGATTAGCACTTAACATTTAATGAAGAGGAGTAAAAATACAAAATTAAACCTATAGAGCAACCCACTTCTAAAAATTATATACTTCAGATATTCTCTACCCTTACGATTTTACTACTTAAAACCATAGGTGTCACAAACAGGTAAGTATTAAATACCAGCTAAAATGTTGCCTGTTGAAATCTATGCAGTGGTACCTCAGAAGATCTGCTTCAGTCTTTAAAATCCTACAAAGCAGTTCTCTGCACAAATGGGTCACTATGTGTCAAAACTGACTCGACAGCAACTAAAACAAAAAAATCAAAGCCATCAAAGGCTGAGAAACACCACTAAGACTACGTTTCTGTCCATTTGTCCTTTAATATTTAAAAGTTTGCATTTCAGTGGTTTTATTCAGTGACTAAGTGTTAATATGTTCTATGTTCAATAAGGCTTATACAAGGGTCCATGTGGTACTGTGATTACAAATTTAGAAGCTAACTGAAAAAAAAGGTCAGTGGCTCAAACACACCATACAGATTAGAGCTTTTGAAAACCTACAGGGCAGGTTGGTTGCTGTCGTTGGATGTCGAGTGGGTTCTGACCCATATTGCCCTGATGCACAAGAGAAGGAAATACTGTGGGGTCCCCTTTGCCACCCTCACAATTGCTCCGATGCTTGAATCCACTGTTGCAACCACTGTATCAATCCAACCCCTTGAGGGTCTTCCTCTTTTTCCCTGCTGCTCCATGCCACCAAACATGATGCACTTTTCCAGGGACTGGTGTCTCCTGTCAACATGTGCCTCTAAGGAGCACTCTGGCAGTACTTCTTCTAAGACTCGTCCTTTTAGCAGTCCATAGTACTTTTAATATTTTGCTCCAGCACAATTCAAATGCATCCACTTTTCTTCAGTCTTCCTTATTCAATGTCCAACTTTCCCATGCATATGAGGCAAATGAAAATATCATGAAGACGTGATGCAATTTCACTCTGTCCTATGTGGTTGTTATATGTCAAAACTGACTCGATGAAAAAGAAGCTAGTTGTTTGAATGACTTAAAGAACAAAACTTCAAAAAATGTAACTGAAAGATAATGAAATTTTTCATGAACACTTTCTTTTAAAGCCCCCTTGTATATTTCATCAAAATAAAATGTTCTTCTGTGGCATTTTTTAAGCAATATAAACTCCTAGGTGGATGGCTCAAATTGACAAATTTTAGGATATTAACTCACTGGCATCAGGTTAATTCTCACTTCTAGTAACTTGTAGAATTATTGAGACTGTAAATCTTTTTTTTTATCATTTTATTGGGGGCTCATACAGCTCTTATCACAACCCATCCATCCATCCATCCATCCATCCATCCATTGTATAAAGCACATTTGTACGTGTGCCATCATCATTTTTTTTAATCTTTAGTAAAAGGTGAAAGATTTATACGATCTGAAGAGAAACCATATGCCATCATCATTTTTAATACATTTTCTACTTGGGCCCTTGGTATCAGTTCCTCATTTTCCCCCTCCTCCATCCTCCCTCCTTCATGAACCCTTCATAAATTTTTTTTTCATGTCTTACACTGTCCCCTATCTCCCTTCACCCACTTTTCTGTTGCCCATCCCCCTGAGAAGGGGTTAAATGCAGATCATTGTGATTGGTTACCCCTTTGTTCCCCCCACCTTCCCCTTACCCTCTTGGTATTGCTACTCTTATTGGTCCTGAGGGGTTTATGTGTCCTGGATTCCCTGTGTTTCCAGTTCTTATCTGGACTCATGTATATGCTCTGGTATAGCGGGATTTGTAAGTAGAATTGAGGTCATGATAGTGGGGAGAAGGAAGCATTCAAGAACTAGAGGAAAGTTGTATGTTTCATAGATGCTGTAATGCACCCTGACTGGCTCATCTCGTCCTTGTGACCTTTCTGTGAGGGGATGTCCAATTGTCTACAGATGGGCTTTGAGTTTCCACTCCGTACTTCCTCTAATTCACATTGAAAGAAATTTTTGTTTGGGGTCTGATGCCTGATACCTGCTCCCATTGACACCTCAAGATCACAGAGGCTGGTGTGCTTCTTCCATGTAGGCTTTGGTGCTTCTCAGCTAGATGGCTGCTTATTTGTCTTCAAGACTTTAAGACCCCAGGCGCTATAGCTTTTGATAGCTGAGCACCATCAACTTTCTTCACATTTGCTTATGCACCCATTTTGTCTTAAGCAATCATGAACATCACAGAATTCCAGGTTATTAGAACAGTGTTCTTGCGTTGAGTGAGTTACATGAGTAGAGACCCAATGTCTGTCTCCTACCTTAATACTTAACATATAAACATATGTACATAGATCTATCTCCCTATCATTATATATAAATTTACATATGTACATTCCTGTATTTAGACCTCTATAAATGTCCTTTGCCTCCTACTTCTTTCCTCAATGTCTTTTTACTTTCCTCTTGTCCCACTATCATGTTCAGTCTTCATTCAGGTTTCAGTAATTCCTCTCAGCTACACTGCCCTCAGTCAAACCCCACCAGCCATTCTATGCCCTCCTGCCCATCAATTTTAGATCACTTGTTGTTCCCTTGTCCCTGGGTTTGGTGACACACCCTTCCTTTCCCCTGCCTCCCTCTCTCCCCCCAGAACCATGGGCCCCATTGTTTTTACCTCCAGATTGTTTATCCTGCCTATCTTATTTAGATAGACACACAGAGACAATAACAAGCACAAAAACAAGACAGAACAAAAGGGAAAAAAAACCAACAACAAAACTAATGACAAAAAAAGGAAAGCTTTTAGTTTGTTGACCTTTGGGAGTGATGGGTTGCCACGCCCTATTTCCAAAGTCTAGTTTTGGTATTCCCCAGAGACTTCATTCCTTTGCTCCCCTTGCTGTTCTGTTGCACACCTTGGTGTTTTGCCCCATTGTGATGATTAGATCAGGCACAATTCCCACACTGTGTCTCCAATGTTGTCCTTCACAGCACTATGGGTCAGTGAGGGACCATGGTGGGACCAGCCCTATGGTTCTCGCTGTGCATTGGCTGCTCTGAACATGAATATTGTTCTTGGAGCTTGGTGGGCCAAGATGTGTTCCACTCTCTCTCCTTCCCTCTTCGTTTGCTCCGGTGTGCTCTGATCAGACTCTCCCCTCTCCCTGAGCTGTAACTTCAGTGCTGTCCTCTGATGTGCATTCTTTGGGGATGGGGATGGGGGTGTTGTTCACGTAGTTGGGATTGGGGCTGGCCCCACAGACCTGCTTGGTTCCCTGCTTCATGCTGATAGAGCCTGCAAATCTTTATAAGAATAGACAGCCTCATCTTTCTTATGCAGAGCAGCTGGTGGTTTCCAGTAAGTCCAAAAAGCAACAAAGCGCTTACCTGACAGTGCCACCAGGACTCCTAGTAGAGCACAAATCAGTTTATGCTGCCTAGCTCAGGTAGTGTAATAGTTGCACATCCAGCTGGGATCTGAGCTCCCTGGGAGAAAGACTGTGTTTTCTACTCCCATAAATATTTAGTCTCCGAAGCCCACGAGGGTCACTATGAGTCAGCATTGACTCCATGGCAGCAAGTTTTGGGGGGACCTTATAAATAGTTAAAACACAGATGGAAAAGTAATAGAAAAATTAAGTTTGATTTGTCAAAGTACTCCCTCAATGCAAGAATACTTTCTTCTATTAAAATTGGCTTTCTATGATGCTCACCTTCCCGACACAACCGCT